ATTACAGGTTCACTCTCACTGGTGTATTGCCGATTCCGCCAGCGAAGTTCTTCCAAAAAATCCAACCTCGCTATATGCGAGGTGTGTGTGTGTACCATCTGAACAGATGTAAAACTTCTTATTGGTTTTCACTAATTTGCAGGGGGTGGATGCATGGTCTGGCAGTCATCCACCAACGAAGACACTGCCTTTCCATGGTGATATGACAAAGGGACGCCTTTGTCACGTACCTGCTTTTTTCGGACATAGCAAGGGGCCAAGCTTAGAACCCCAACCACAATATTATACAATTTGCTGCACTGTTGTCGCAATCTGGAATCAATTTTGACATTTACATGCATCAGAACCTTCCTCAGATTTTCGCCGAAACCACATCGCCGACAGTATTATGTTTTTTCTATTTTCGCCGAGATCCTGTCGCCGACGAATTATGGGTTACTATGGGAAACAATCGCCGAAACATTATTTTGGATTTCAACATGCTGGTCAAAAAACTCTATGAAATCTGGTTATGACTACGTTTGACAGTATCGGATGCCCTACCTCGTTTTCGAGAAGTACCTCATGTGGCTCTTTTATTCCTCTAATAATCTAGGCTGGTTTGCATGTTTCAGGATTCAGTTCCTGCCGGATCATATAATGATCCATTCTTGTCTAGTGTGTGCAAGTTGTGCGTGAGTAAGTTGTATGTGAGTAAGTTGTGCGTGAGCAAGTTGTGTGTGAGCAAGTTGTGTGTGAGCAAGCTGTGTGTGTGGACAAGTTGTGTGAGGACAAGTTGTGTGTGAGCAAGTTGCGTGTGAGTAAGTTGTGTGTGAGCAAGTTGTGTGTGTGTGTGCAAGTTGTGTGTGAGCAAGTTGTGTGTGAGTAAGTTGTGTGTGTGTGCAAGTTGTGCGTGAGTAAGTTGCGTGTGAGTAAGTTGTGTGTGAGCAAGTTGTGTGAGCAAGTTGTGTGTGAGTAAGTTGTGTGTGAGCAAGTTGTGTGTGAGCAAGTTGTGTGTCAGTAAGTTGTGTGTGAGCAAGTTGTTGTGTGTGAGCAAGCTGTGTGTGACAGGGACGACGGGAGGAGGAGGAGGAGGAGGAGGAGGAGGAGGAGGATGACGGGAAGACGGACGTGATGCAGAATCAAAAACAAGAACCCCACACAGCTGTCTGACTGCGTGGTGTGAAATGTCTACAGCTGCAGCATGTACCACCATCTCGTCGAAATACACACGGGGTTGACAGCGTGTGCCAAAGTGCAAGTGCCACAGCAAATGTCTGTGCACAGCAAACAACGCACCTGCTGAGCCCAGTACAACACAAACTCCCAAGGAACAATGAAAAGGTATCTGCCACCGATACGTCAGGACGCGAGAGACAGAAAATGTCATCCATGAAAGCGGATGCAAAGACAGCACCTGTCGTCACCTGGCAGCGACGCGACAACAAGTCGAATCAAAATGGCACATCGTTGCCAGCTGTCGTCACTTGGCACCGAAGCGACAACGTACCACGCCTGCCACGCAAAGTGACGGCAAGTGCCATGCCTGCCACGCAAAGTAACAATCGATGTCGTCAAGTGCCACGCCTGCCACACAAAGTGAAGGTAGATGTCACGAAGTGCCACGCCTGCCACGCAAAACGCCGCGGCGTCACGGCGCCATGGCTGACCAAGCGCGGCACCAGAGCCAACCCAGTGCCATAAGTGCCACGCCTGCCACGCAAAGTAACAATCGATGTCGTCAAGTGCCACGCCTGCCACACAAAGTGAAGGTGGATCGAAGGTAGATGTCACGAAGTGCCACGCCTGCCACACAAAGTGAAGGCAGATGTCACGAAGTGCCAAGCCTGCCACGCAAAAGGCCGCGGCGCCACGGCGCCGTGGCTGACCAAGCGCACCACTAGAGCCAACCCAGTGCCAATGCCTGCCACGCAAAAGGCCGCGGCGTCACGGCGCCATGGCTGACAAAGCGCGCCACCAGAGCCAACCCAGTGCCATAAGCGCCACGCCTGCCACGCAAAGTAACAATCGATGTCGTCAAGTGCCACGCCTGCCACACAAAGCGAAGGTAGATGTCACGAAGTGCCACGCCTGCCACACAAAGTGAAGGCAGATGTCACGAAGTGCTATGCCTGCCACGCAAAAGGCCGCGGCGTCACGGCGTCACGGCGCCATGGCTGACCAAGCGCGCCACCAGAGCCAACCCAGTGCCATAAGTGCCACGCCTGCCACGCAAAGTAACAATCCATGTCATCAAGTGCCACGCCTGCCACACAAAGCGAAGGTAGATGTCACGAAGTGCCACGCCTGCCACACAAAGTGAAGGCAGATGTCACGAAGTGCCACGCCTGCCACGCAAAAGGCCGCGGCGTCACGGCGCCATGGCTGACCAAGCGCGCCACCAGAGCGAACCCAGTGCCGTAAGTGCCACGCCTGCCACGCAAAGTAACAATCCATGTCATCAAGTGCCACGCCTGCCACACAAAGTGAAGGTGGATGTCACAAAGTGCCACGCCTGCCACGCAAAACGCCGTGAGAGTAAGTTGTGTGTGAGCAAGTTGTGTGTGTGTGCGTGTGCAAGTTGTGCGTGTGCAAGTTGTGTGTGAGCAAGTTGTGTGTGTGCAAGTTGTGTGTGAGCAAGTTGTGTGTGAGTAAGTTGTGTGTGTGTGTAACATCTGAATAGATGTAAAACTTCTTCTCTCTCTTTTTCTTCCTTTGTCCTCTCCCTTTCTAACTCTAAATTTAATGCAGGGGGGTGCAGAGCACAGTGGAGACTGCACCCAACGAAGCTATCCACTTGTGCTGGAAGCAGAGTCTGATCAACTCTGTGTACCTGCAAAAATTGGGTTTCAACTGTTGATCAAGCTGTTACACTGCGTTGTTTCGAATCTACACGGTTGCCACAATCTGTATTGCCTGCATCAGAACCTTCCTCAGGTTTTCGCCGAACCATGTCGCCGACAGTATTTTGATTTTTTGAATTATTTCGCCGAAACCATGTCATATCTAATCTGCATGTTTCAGGATTCAGTTCCTGCCGGATCATATAATGATCCATTCTTGTCTAGTGTGATTTCCATGGTGGCTCCGACATGGTGCCATGGAGCCATTTGAGGCAACCCTCTTTAGGGTGAGTGACGACTGTCCTGACTGCCGAATTATCACATTTTAATTTGGTAATTCGTCTAAGTAAATCACAACAGTTGGCCTTTCCGTTTTGCACCTTTTGTGATGTCCCGCGTTTCCGGCTGTCCTCTATGAACCCAGTGGAATGCATCTCTATTGAGTGAAACCACTTCGAACTACCAGAAACCTCCGTTTTTGCAGCAACCTTTGCAGCTACATGACATCATTTCAAGACATTGTGAAAAGGCAGGCACACGTCTTTCAGGTGTGGTCTTTTCCTTTTGGTTGTCTGGTGAGGTGAAACATGTTGTGCACCTAATTCGCTGGAACTTGAAAGCCGTTTAAGCCAATTGGGGCAGACTTGACCACGGTCCCGGTGCAGGGAACAATCGCACGACCTTTAGGCATTTAGGGACTGAATCCTGTTTTTAATTAATTGTTTTGGTTTTCCTGTCTGTCATCAACTAGTCCCCCATTTGGTCCCTAATTTCCCCGCGTGCCTCTCCGTAATGTGTCGTGGGGTTTAGGTGTGTGCGCTGTTTTGTTCAGGTCCGTTTCGCCGTGTAGGTTGGTTCCGGAGGTCCGTCTGTTCCCCTCCCCCCCTGCGCTGTTTTTGGCCGTTTGCCCTTCGTGTGTCCGCTTTTTTCTTCCTCTTGCCTTTCAGGGTTGACCCGGCTCCGGCCGGGTGTGTGTGTGTGTGTAACATCTGAATAGATGTAAAACTTCTTCTCTCTCTTTTTCTTCCTTTGTCCTCTCCCTTTCTAACTCTAAATTTAATGCAGGGGGGTGCAGAGCACAGTGGAGACTGCACCCAACGAAGCTATCCACTTGTGCTGGAAGCAGAGTCTGATCTACCTGCAAAAATTGGGTTTCAACTGTTGATCAAGCTGTTACACTGCGTTGTTTCGAATCTACACGGTTGCCACAATCTGTATTGCCTGCATCAGAACCTTCCTCAGGTTTTCGCCGAACCATGTCGCCGACAGTATTTTGATTTTTTGAATTATTTCGCCGAAACCATGTCATATCTAATCTGCATGTTTCAGGATTCAGTTCCTGCCGGATCATATAATGATCCATTCTTGTCTAGTGTGTGCAAGTTGTGCGTGAGTAAGTTGTATGTGACTAAGTTGTTGTGTGTGAGTAAGTTGTGCGTGAGTAAGTTCGGGTGAGTAAGTTGTGTGTAAGTTGTGTGTGAGTAAGTTGTGGTGAGCAAGTGAGCAAGTTGTGTGTGAGCAAGTTGTATGTGAGCAAGTTGTGTGTGAGCAAGTTGTGTGTGTGTGTGCAAGTTGTGTGTGAGCAAGTTGTGTGTGAGTAAGTCGTGTGTGTGTGCAAGTTGTGCGTGAGTAAGTTGTATGTGAGTAAGTTGTGCGTGAGCAAGTTGTGTGTGAGCAAGTTGTGTGTGAGCCAGCTGTGTGTGTGTGGACAAGTTGTGTGAGGACAAGTTGTGTGTGAGCAAGTTGTGTGTGTGAGCAAGTTGTCTGTGTGTGTGCAAGTTGTGTGTGAGCAAGTTGTGTGTGAGTAAGTTGTGTGTGTGTGCAAGTTGTGCGTGAGTAAGTTGCATGTGAGTAAGTTGTGTGTGAGCAAGTTGTGTGTGAGCAAGTTGTGTGTGAGTAAGTTGTGTGTGAACAAGTTGTGTGTGTGTGTTTGCAAGTTGTGTGTGAGCAAGTTGTGTGTGAGCAAGTTGTGTGTGAGTAAGTTGTGTGTGAGCAAGTTGTTGTGTGTGAGCAAGTTGTGTGTGACAGGGGCGACGGGAGGAGGAGGAGGATGACGGGAAGATGGACGGGATGCAGAATCAAAAACAAGAACCCCACACAAAGACGTGGGGAAATAGATGGAAGAGTGAGGCAGCGCAAGTCCATTGGCAACATGTTTCACATTTGCGTCCGGGCTGCTCTTGCATGACAGTAGCACCGCGAAAACATATTTCACCTACACCGCCAGGTGGCAGCTTTTGGCCGTCGTCGCCCAAAATGCAAACATCCACATTGACAACCGGAAGGCCACAGGACGTGGGCCGCGCTGGGAAAAGCTCTGCAGGCATGACCACACTAATGGCATCGGTTTCCTTGGAGGGCATGCCTCAAGCATCTCCCGGAAATTATAACAAAACTATACACCGCTTCCTTTGCTGGCATGTGCGCATATGCGCTTTACTTACCAAACATCCAGCAAACAACAAGCCACAGCATTGCTGCAAGACAATATCATTGAACCACTCCGGAACGTTTAAAATCGTTTAAACACACCCAAGCCTTGATCCCCAACGACAGCTTAATGTATGACTGGATATGACTGGAAAAGACCGTAGCATGATTGAAAAGCTGAGCTGCTGTCAGCCCATAGCCCGTGGAAGCCCGCGCATTCTTAAATGTTGCCTGAACGAGACAGTCGTGAAAGCTCTACAAAACGCCCGCGCGTGCCATGTGAGCCTAGCCTTCACTCTCTTGATCATTGGTGCTGCAAAGGCCGCACCACCACCACCCACGTTGATCATTGAAGACGTGTTGTACTTCTTAAAGTCTGGATGGTTGACCTCGGCTTGGACCAAATTCAGCTTGGCATGTGTGTTTTGCTTCTTTGTTTTGATCGTGCGCGAAGGCTTATTCCAGCGGGTAGCAATGGGAGCTGCGCACCACAGCAACCATGTTTTAATCTAAACGATTAAAGTCTCAGCTCGAATGTTACCGGCTCAAGGATGCCGACTTTCATGAACTACTGAAACTCGTTCTACAGCTCTTTCAGCTGGAAGGGACAAAGAAAGGCACACCGAAAGCAAGACCCAAAACAAAAACCAAGGAAGAATCGCAAAAATAAAAACGCAAGAAATGAAAACAACAACAACAACAACACCAACAACAACAACAACAACAACAACAACAACAACAACAACAACAACAACAACAACAACAAGCACAAGCACAAGCACAAGCACAAGCACAAGCACCAACAAGCACCAGCACAAGCACCAGCACAAGCACCAACAAGCACCAACAAGCACCAACAAGCACCAACAAGCACCAACAAGCACCAACAAGCACCAACAAGCACCAACAAGCACCAACAAGAGAGAGAGAGAGAGCGAGAGAGAGAGAGAGAGAGATAGAGAGAGAGAGAGATAGAGATAGAGAGAGAGAGATAGATAGAGAGATAGTGTGAAAGAGATAGTGTGAGAGAGAGAGAGATAGAGATAGAGAGAGAGAGAGATAGATAGAGAGATAGTGTGAAAGAGATAGTGTGAGAGAGAGATAGATAGAGAGATAGTGAGAGAGAGAGAGAGAGATAGAAGAGGTGAGAAGATCTAAGAGAGAAGCTGAGATGAGCTGAGAAGTGCTGAGAAGGGTTGAGAAGAGCTAAGAAGAGCTGACAAGAGCTAAGAGAGAAGCTGAGATGGGCTGAGAAGAGCTGAGAGAAGCTGAGACGAGCTGAGAAGAGCTAAGAACTAAGAAAGAAGCTGAGATGAGCTGAGAAGAGCTGAGAAGATTTGGGATTAGCTAAGAAGAGCTAGAGATAGATAAGCTGGCAGAAGCTGAATAGCTGAGAAGATTTGAGAAGTGCTGAGAAGATCTGTGCGACAATATATATATAATTGGGACGGATTGCCAAAAGTATGAGGTTAAGGATGAAGCTGCAGGATGAGAACGGGGATGTGGAGGATGCAGGACGATGTATTCAAAGTGAGGCCCCAAAATGGAAACCACGCAGCGCCAAACCACTGCAGAAAACTCCAAGCAACAATTTCTTCGAACCCCTATCAAGTGGCAATTTAGATCGCGACCATTTGAGGCGGGGCCCAGGCCCAGCATGAAGAATCCCTACGTATCGGAAAAAATGATCATTTTGCCAATTTTGCCTTCCCCTGCCCGGAAAAGGAGAATGTACTAAAGCACAGAAAGTTCACGTAGATGATGCCACCTTTCGTGATTAAATTCAAGAATTCGGTAGCCGAGACAGGCATGTTTGCTAAAGCAACAGCCGTGAGGCTGCTGCCCGGGCAAAGAAGAATACACAGCTTCTTCCCGCCAGAACTCAAAATAAACAAATGCGCGTGGACAGCGTGAATGATGCTTCCCATACCGACTACAGCATTCCAATGACAACATCGGCGATTCGTTCCTGATGCCATGAGGCCAGGAAAACACAAACAAGTTCTGCATCGTTCCCTGTTCTGCGCATGGCAATACCACGTATGACTGACAACCACGTATCCCTGCGAACCAAAGACCTCGTTAAACTTGATCGTTTCAATGAAAATGTGTTTTACGTGTAAAAGAACGTACTTTACTTGAGCTAATTTTTACCAAAGCTCCGTTGATGCAGTGGACAAATGCGTTTTATCGACAAATCACTGCAAATCATTCTCCCAACTGGTTGAGTTCCAGAGCTCTTGGTATCAATTTATATCAATTTCATTGTTTGCAATCGCCCTTTACAGCTGCCCACAGCCCGTGAACGTCCCGTCAACAACCCGAAACAAGCCGTGAAACACCCTTGAACCATCCGTGAACGACCCGTGAACCACCCGTGAACCACCCGGGAACCACCCGTGAACCACCCGTGAACCATCCGTGAACCACCCGTGAGACCAGTGTGTTAGAGACACAAAAAACTGGGTTAGAGACCCGAAAAACTGATTTTGTACCGTGAGCGACCCGTGAAACACCCGTGAAGCACCCGTGAAGCATCCGTGAAGCACCCGTGAATGATCCGGGGACGCTCAATGAACATGCATTAACGGGCAAATGGTTTCCATCTTTTTGCAGGTTCCCAATATCAAATGCAGTCTGTCATAGCACTATATGCATGTCTCTATGAACCAAGTCTCTCTCAAGATAGATTCAAAACAGTGATGTTGCTGAAGTGTTGACGGCAAGTGGTTAGAAGGATTTAGAAATGTGATCGAAGAGCGCAATTTCAAATGATCAAGTTAAACTTGTTCTTAACCAATGTGGACAGGTTAAACTGGTCTTTCGGGTTTGTAGGGTATGACAACCAAATTTTGGGCTTGAGGCCAACGGCCGGCTAGATTTGGCGCACATGAAGCAAGACATGCCAGCAAGTTCCAGCATACTTTCAACTGACATCAGTTGTCATGAAATCTTGAATCCAAGGTTCTAAGTCGTATGTGTTTGTAGGAACCCCAACGATCAAATGCACCTGCTCACGCTCAATCAGCTGCAATGCCTGCGTCGGATCCCATTTGTACATCAGCACCATCTTTTCACCTGAACCGAAATCGCAGCAATCTCTTTCAGAATCGTAACAGCAACAATCGTCTTCCCCTGTCATGATCCTTTCAGATCGTACAAGGGCCTCGACAAATTGCGCCAAACAGACCTACATGCGTTCCATTCCTTGGATGGCGTCTGGCATTCACGGGATGTGAAAATGTTCGTTTGAATCCTTTGAAATCACATATGTCACATATGTCAGCCTCTTTGAATGTTTTCCCCACTGTGTATAAAGTCTCTTTGGGATCTTTGGGCATTCTACATCGCCCGGTGCACAATGAGTTCTGAGTTGCAAAGTCGCACACATCTAGGACATCATTAAGCTTTTGCTGCATGCATTCAAGGTTCACGTGGAAAAGCGGCGATGCAAGAATAACCGTTTTTGGCGTCTTGGACTCTGCTCTGTGATGGAAAAGGCCTTGCCATTTGCCAAGCCGTCAAATTGGACGAAGCTTTCACAAACGCAAATAAACAGTGGATCTATGTATGCCAACAATTTGCACCCGGAATCAATCCCGAACAAAGGAAGAAAGTAAGATGCAAGAAAAAGTTAAAACATAGCTGACACTGGGCGCAAAATGCTGCATGTCAGGCAATCTTCTGAAAGGTCAAGTTTCTCAAGGTGTTGATTGCCGAGCAAATGTTTCGATGGCTCATGAGCACGCCCTTCCTGTATTTCGCGCCCGCACAGGGAGCTGGGAAAACATTTGATTTTTGAAACATGATATAGGATGCGTTCAATGAAACACTAGCTATCCATCAGTTCGGTCACTCAGAACATTTTCTGCGATACATGCACATGTTCAACTGAACGACCTTTCAGTCTCTCTCTCTCTCTATTGGGTGGCTTGCTTGGTACTGGAAGACTGAATGTTGGTCTTAACGAGTCTTAACTGCAATTTGAGCTTCGGCATGGCAGTAGTGCCAGAAGTGTACATCAGCATTGCTCGATCCTTGCTCCACAAGGACTTCTCTCTGAACCGCAAACATTACAGCAGTTGGTCGAAGGACTGATTACATTCAGCCAACGGAGCACCACCTTTTTCGAGTCTTCGTGGAGATTCTGACACGCCCCAGAACCTTCCCCTATGCGGCTGAAGCCCCAAGCTTGTCCCTAGGCCACTTGCAACTGACAGCTATCGCTTGAAAAACATGCCGGTCGCGAAAGGCATGAGCACAAAGCAAGCAGGGAGTCTTCAAGGTTGGCACAACATATCACTCCGCCTTCAAGTTACATACTTGCTTGCATTCAAGCGTGCCGGTGCCGGAGCCACTCGCATAAACATAGAAGTATGAAGTATTCTTCCAGCTTGCTGGAATTTCATTCCAAGAGAACGTTCAGTCTCTACCGCGTTGGGTCTCTGATGTACAAAGTCTAATACTAGAAACACAAACAACAAACGGCATAGGAAGCAACACGGCAAAACAAATGCTCTCCCTTCGAAAAGTTATAGGGCCATTGGAGAATCATGTTGTGTCCTAAGATTGCGTCAAAGCTTGTAACTGATGGCAAAATTGGCTCGCATATGAAATGTATTCCCACAGCAGTGACTGTTTGGTTTCCACCTCTGGTGCCAGGAAAGCGCACGCCCCAGAAAGCTGGAACAGAAGACGGAATTCTTTGCTGGACCCCCTTGCTGGAAACTCTTGCTAGCAGGAACCTTGCTGGAACCCGGTTGGAACCCTTGCAGGGGTGGATTGCTTTTTTGTTTCTTGCTTTGGTTAATGTGCTGGAATCGTTTTGCGACCTTAGCTTGGGTTCTGTTTATTAGTTTACATTTTCTCTGCTTAATCCCCGGAGCTGTTTCATGCGTCATTAATTTGGAAGAGGTAAGCTTTGATGATTTACTGTCAGCTCGTCATATGATTTTGAGCGCCCTTCAGAGCCTGCGCTATTGTGAGTGTTGCAGCGCAACGCTTTAGCCCCCGGGTGGTGCAATAGAGGTGGTCCGATTTCAGTTGGGCAGCTATATCACCAAGAACTTGACTTTGCACGACTTTGGGGCATCAATACCTGCACCTACAAACCCAAAAAATCGGAATGGAACGGAGTCCTGGAACTCAGGAACGTTGCAACCCTAGAAGCCTGGAACTCTGGAACCCTATAGAAACCTGACATGGAATTCTGGAACCCTGGAGCCCTGGAACGCAGTAAGCCTACCTGCTACCTGGACCTTGGAACCCTGGAGCCCTGGCTGTTGGGTTGCGAAGCTGAATTAATCACGCATGGTATAGCATGCATTTGTCTCCGTATGAACTTCAACACACACACACACTACTTTCTACACTGCCCGGACAAACCACGTTTCGCCAAAGAACATCTTGGTCCACTGGCTGTCTCGGTATCGGGTCCAAGGACTTTCCAAGGCTCACGAGCGTCTCAAAACGCTGAGCACTTTGCGGCGGTTGCCTCGCCCCCGCTCGCATACAAATTGCAGGAATTCCTTCGTGGGCCGGGCAAATGTTTGTGTCCGAACTGAACTGCTTCAGCGACTTGCACGCGTCTAAACTGCAAATAGCCACAAAAAGAAACAGGAGGAAAATGAGCTTGTCGACTGAACAGTGATAGTTTATGACAATTTTTGGACGGGGATCGCATCTGCTCCAGGAAAGGTGCTCGATCCAGACGCTCTAAGTCAGCCACCAGCAAGCAGCTTTGAGAATCTTCCAAGCCATACCTCACCAATGGGCAAACAGGTGGGCAAGTCCACACCGACACATCTCTGAAAGCCGGGGTCAAGAGTGCTGTGAGCTCACTTTCTTGCAAGATCACCGTTTCGGGTGTAGGCAAGAAACTTCAACTCGGGGCCAGTCCACCATGCGTTCACAGGCAGCGATACAGCACTGAGGTAACCGTTCACTGCAATGAGGGTGAAAACCCATTCCTGAATCAATTTGCGATGAAGGGTGCAAAATGGTGTAAACTCGAGGAGCTATTTGGCATCCCCCGTGGTACCGCTCAAAAGGGTCTAGTCCTGGAAAAAAATGCCTTAAATCGTTTGGTCCACAACCTTTTGGAATTGATTTCCAAAGGGTACAACCCAACAGATTTAAGCCAACAACCAAGTTGCAATTTCCCGGGCAAACACATTAAAATCCTGTTCCACAACCTTTATGTGGACTAACATTTCTCCTGGCCCACCATTGCGCTGACACAACTCTTTTCCTGGGTCATAACCTTTATGATGATACATGTGTACCTACCCCATTCAGATCGTCAAGTCGATTGAATTGGAAGATCACGACCTTTCAAAAACTGCTGAAGGTTTGGCATAAACACTTTTCTTGTCATATAATTCAAATCCTGGGTCACAGGGTTTCCACCGGCTCCATCATTTTTTTTTCTCGCATGCTGTCAAGATCTTTCAAGACGGGGAGATGGATGACACTAGGCTTTGGAGGTCCAGAACTGTTTCTCTCTCTCTCTCTCTCTGTTGGAAATGACCAGAAATGATGTGTCCTCTCTACATGATTGTTGATCCCCGTCGGTACAAAAACGTGGGGTACAGTCCTAGAAAAAAAATCGGTCTAAAATGATGACCCCTAACCTTTGAGAGAGGTTTTAGAGCTTTAAATTCCTGGCTCCTAACCTCTGAAGCCGAAATCTCACTTCCAACCACCTTTTTGAATTTTCTTTGCTAATTTCGTGGTGCCCAACGTCCAACATCCAATAAATTTACCCCTCTCATATCCAAGTAAAAAAAAATATTTCCTGGATGCTTGCGTTGGTAACATGCCATATCTTCCCCCCCTCAATCTGATACGGAAAAAAATGAATTCCTGGCACCTGACTTCCCGGCTGACAGCTCGCAGTTTTTCAGAGTCCACGGCTTCACGAGTGCGGTCCGGCAGATGCCCACGGCAATGCACAACCCTTTTGCATGGACAAATGTATCTTCAGGAAAAAACGCCTGTTTTGCAATTTGGCCACACGTTGGAACAAAATTCTTCAATTCGTCCCATCATTTCCTATCTATGGATGGTTGACCTGGTGATGCGATTTTTTTCCTGTGGGGTCAGCCTTTGAAGATCATCCACAAGAATTCGGCCAAAAAAAGGTCCAGCCCCTTGGACTTTATTTTTGACACCTGCGCCTCGGCCTCTTCAAGTCACCTTTTTTTGGTTGGTGAAGCTGAAGATATGTGGTTGTACCCTTTTGCAAGGACAAATGCATTTTCAGCAAAAAACATATATGTTGTAATTTGCGCGCGCGTTGACACAAAATTCTTGAATTCGTCCCATCATGTCCTATCTGTGGATGATTGCCCTGGTGATGCGACTTTTTTCCTGTGGGGCCAACCTTTGAAGATCATCCGCAAGTATTCAGTCAAAAAAGGTCCAGCCCCTTGAATTTTATTTTTGACACGTGCGCCTCGGCCTCTTGAAGTCACCTTTTTTGGTTGGTGAAGCTGAACATATGTGGTTGTACCCCTTTTGCAAGGACAAATGTCTTTTCAGAAAAAAAAACGCCTGTTTTGCAATTTGGGCGCGTTGACACAAAATTCTTGAATTCGTCCCATCATGTCCTATCTGTGGATGATTGGCCTGGAGATGGGATTTTTTTCCTGTGGGGTCAGCCTTTGAAGATTATCCCGCAAGTATTCAGTCAAAAAAAGGTCCAGCAACTTGGATTTTATTTTTGACACCTGCGCCTCGGCCTCTTCAAGTCACTTTTTTGGTTGGTGAAGCTGAACATGTGTGTCTGTACCCTTTTGCAAGGACAACTGTATTTTCAGCAAAAAAAACATGTGTTTTGCAAATTGGGCGCGCGTTGACACAAAATTCTTGAATTCGTCCCATCATGTCCTATCTGTGGATGATTGGCCTGGTGATGCGACTTTTTTTCCTGTGGGGCCAACCTTTGAAGATCATCCGCAAGTATTCAGTCAAAAAAGGTCCAGCCCCTTGGATTTTATTTTTGACCCCTGCGCCTTGGCCTCTTGAAGTCACTTTTTTTGGTTGGTGAAGGTGAACATATGTGTTTGTACCCTTTTGCAAAGTCATGTAAAGAATCATACCCCCTCAAGTAATCATGGTACATTTTTTCCTGGGGTTTGACATTTAGATATGTTCTAGTAAACTCCCATTTGATCCATCCACCTTCAAATTCCTGGCTACTAACCTTGGGAATTCTACAAACTTACCCATTATCAGAGTCATTCATGATTGATTTCCTGATGCCTTACATACACAGACTGATAGATCAACCCCCTCAATCACAACAGACAGAAATTGATTTCCTGCCACTGTACGTCAGGAAGCTTTCAGGGAAAAAAAACTGGGCCTTTTTTGGTATGATATTTGATTCCTGGCCCCGTATCATGCCCCTGGACCCTCACCCACTGTCTGCTAGATTTTTGGAAAATAGTGTTTTTTAAAAAGCGTACTGAACCCCCAGGAAAAAAAAACTGGTAGTACAGAGGAGGATATTGTTGAAGAAAACCATACGGAGTTCATAACTGTTCAAAATTAAAATCCAGTGAAGCTATCGGATTCAACCTTTTTACAAACCACTGAAATGCATTAAAAAGTATGATCACAACCTTTATGTAGATCCTACCCTCTTCTGTTCGACAGATTGGCCCAGAGATTTTTTTCCTGTACCCCAACCTTGTTTGGAAAACCATGCAATCCTGGCAAGCAAATCTTCGAAACATATAAAATCCTGTGGTACAACCTTATGTTACTAATCCTGCTTTCCTGGCTCCAACATTTGTTTTCCTGAACCCCAACCTTGCGACATCCATTTTTTGATGATTTTTACCTGACTTGGCTTTTTTGATTCGCCGAAGTGGAGTCAGAGGAAAAAAAATTACCGGTACAACGGGGGATCTATTTGGCAATATTTGGCATATGTCTCAAGAAAACGCCATCTTGAGTAAAAGGAATTAATAGTATTTAAGAAGCCTGTCTGCTGACGTTTGTAATACTCAACTAGTAACTAGTGTCATAGCTGGAAGTTGAAGCTTTGGACGTCCATTGCTCATGACTGCAGCTTTCATTCACCGCAGTGACTCGAATCCTTGTTTTGGGGAACATTCAGAGACTCTGAGCGGAATTGCTGAGGGAATCCAGTCATCAATGAACACACCTAAACCACTGAACCACCAGTGTTGCTGAGTAGAAAATAATGCACTTAGCGGTCTGCTCCTGCCTCTCTGTTTATCGGTCACTCAGTCCACCCGTATCATTCATTCGTGATACTAAAGGCGTCCTAATAGTCACAGGGAGAAAAAGGTCAGGAGGCAAGCAGCTAGGTAGATACAGTAAGTAGGTAGATTTTGCCCATTCAGCTGGATCAAACACGTATTGATAAATCGATCGATTGAACAATATATAGCTGATAGCTCGATGGATGGATGGAAGAAAGGATGGATAGATGGATGGATGATAGATATTCATATTTTGCCGGCCCTTGTGATCTTGATGGGACTGTGGTTTTGCTCGCTTCATTTGGTTTTGAAGGGCGCCCTTGATATTCAAACTGAAGTGGCGGCTTTGATTCTAAATCAACTTGAGCTGAGACGTCAGACGTCAGCTATGGGGCGAATTGAGCTCACTGAGGCGCAGATGGATCAGTGTCTCAGATGCCTAAAACAATAGAAACAGCTTCCATGAACCGAGAGATTCAGAGATGCTTGCAAATAAAGTCTAGAAGCTGGCTTTCACGGATAGATCTGTTCGTAGGTGTTCATGGACCTGCGTAGATACATACGGATTGGATCGGATTGGAATTTACTAAACTGTTTTCTTAGCAGGGCGAAGTGGCGAGCGCCTTGCACAAGCATTGTTGCAAAAACCCTTGAGCCCAAACCCGCGACCTGAACCCCCCAACCTCTAACCCCAACCCTCCTAGCTGCAGCCTAAACATCCCTGAAATTGTGCAAGGCATATATGGGGCTATCCTGGCATGGCTACAGCAACAATTTTGAAACAACGCGCGCACACATGAAACTAACGAGGCCCTTTCGAATGTATATCTACAAGTAAAGATTTCTGGAATTTCCTGGATACTTGTAGATAGTGATGTGGTATCTATAGGTACATATCAAATGGTACTGCTAGTAGATAGATAAACATGGAACCGATGGTCCCCCTGACATCCACTCCCACTGACCATGAACTGTCCATGTCCAGCACTGTAACCTGGGGAGGATACCGTGGGCTAAATGTTTGATGAGCGCAGTACTGCGACAACTGCAGAAAAAACAAACTCTTTGACAACAGTATCCTGTCTTGTCCGCGAGTTTCATTGCGATGCAAGGTGCTGGAAAGTTTCTTCCAGCAATAGCAACGCAGCGGCCTTGCAAAACAACACTGCTGTTTTACTAGCTGAGACCTAGCGTGCTCATGAATGTATATCCGCCGACCCCTGCCTAGCCTTGGCCTAGGCCTAGGCGGGGTGGCGGCCGGGATGACCGTGGGTGTGCGGCATGGCCCTGTGCCGGCTCTGGCTTCGAAGGCTCAAAGCCTTTCCAAGCTCCTCTATACGGCACCGCTCCGTGCTTGCTTTGCCATGGTACCTCGGCGTCCCGCTTGCTTGTCCACGGTACCTCCCTAGGCCCCACAAGCTGTTTCTATTGGGCTTCACCTCAAAACCCTCCGCAGCAGCATTCCAAACAAACTGTTTCTGTTGGGCTTCGAAACTGCTACGTGGCACGTTTTGGGCAAGCCTTAAAACTTTCAAATCCCCGCGGCAGCTTTCGAAGGCCTTAGAACCTCAAAACCCTCCGTAGCAGCTTTCGAAGGCCTTAGAAGTTCAAAACCTTCCGCAGCGCAGCTTTCGCAGGCGTCCCGCTTGTTTGGCCATGGTACCTCCCTAGGCCCGACACGCTGTTTCTACTGGGCTTCGAAACTGCTACGTGGCGCGTTTTGGGCAAGCCTTAAAACGCTCAAAAACCCCGCAGCAGCTTTCGAAGGCCTTAGACTGAGAACTTCAAAACCTTCCGCAGCAGCTTTCGCAGGTGTCCCGCATGCTTGGCCATGGTACCTCCGTGGGCCCCACAAGCTGTTTCTATTGGGCTTCGAAACTGCTACGTGGCACGTTTTGTGCAGGCCTTAAAACCCTCAAAAGCTCCGCAGCAGCTTTCGAAGGCCTTGGAAGTTCAAAACCATCCGCAGCAGCTTTCGAAGGCGTCCCGCTTGCAAGGCCATGGTACCTCCGTAGGCCCCGCAAACTTTTTCTATTGTGCTTCGAAACTGCTGCGTGGCACGTTTTGGGCAGACCTTAAAACCTTCAAAAAACCCGCAGCAGCTTTCGAAGGCCTTAGAAGTTCCCAAAACCTTCCGCAGCAGCTTTGGCGGAAACATCCCGCTTGCTTGGCCATGGTACCTCGGTAGACCCCACAAGCTGTTTCTATTGGGCTTCGAAACTGCTACGTGGCACGTTTTGGGCAGGCCTTAAAACCCTCAAAAACCCCGCAGCAGCTTTCGAAGGCCTTAGAA